GCCTAAGACTTAAAACAGATTTCTACATACGCTCTTGCTGAACCTCATTTCTTGTTGCTTTATGATGATTCCTATTTTTTTTTAAGTACTCATCCCAGGTCTAGCTCAAACCTGAGCTAAGCAGACAGAAATGAATGGAACACTACCCTGTTTAACTCTGTTTTTCTGCTATCCCCTCAGGTGTAAATGACTGACTGGCTTCAGAAGCACAAACACGTAGAAAAAGGAGTGATGATGCATTCACTGCTTGCAGCAATGAAGCCCTGGGGCCTTCTCAGCCTGCGGTTCTCAGATCAAGCAGCCATCAAACCACATGACACTGCAAATTTATGTCCCTCTCCTCCTTCCCAGCTCTCCACCCTTCATAAAATCCATCAATATTCCTACTCCAAATTCCCCAGAGACACTTTATTACCAGACATAGACAGACAGCCGTCAGTGAGGTACAGCTCAGAAGTAGCTCACTGAAGAGCCTGCTGGGATAAGGGAGGGAACTGCTGTGGATGTATTGTTCTAGTCCCATCATTTCCCAAAATACTGAATGAAATAATAACTTGTTTATAATGATGCATGACATCAAGTCAATACTACATACCAGCACTTGAGACACAACTTTGAACCCTATGACCTTCCTCCAAGTGAGAAAGTCTTTAGGGAGGCCATGGGATGCAGAAAGCCCTATCCTTCTTGTTCTCTAGAATAATTTTTTTTTTTTTCTGGAATTAAAAAATGGGCAGGACCACATCTACTTGCCATACTCAAACCTGCCTGTTTTCTTTTCCCTTAGAGCTGATCACTCTGGCTTAAGGCTGAAGATACCTCCCTTGCCAAGAAGTGATGGGAGTGATACACCAATTCATTTCACAGCAGATTTTTGACATAAAATGAACCATGTCCAGGCATTTGAGCCATTCTCCTCCAATAAGCTATAGGAGGAAAAAATTCCATTCCCTATCTGCGTCGAACCATGTTCACATTACATAACTATCCTCTCCCTATGCCTTTACATAACCTGCTTAAAAGTAACTGGTCTTACAGGTTCACAGCTTTCTTTTTGATACACTCTTTCTTTGCCATAATACTACAGCTAAATCCCTTTGTGCTACACTGCCACCAATTCCACCTTCCTTTGATGGTGCACTAGGTACGCTGCCTGGTTGCATTCCATGTTTCTAAGCAACAAAGAGCATTTGCCGACCAGTTAACCTCTTGTATTTTCCTATTTCACAGTGTAGTAAAAGTGAAAGCAATCCAAAGTTTAGAAGGGAAAAAAAAAGCCAAAACAAACAAGAACTGATCCTATTCTCCTGAGAGAAGATCTGCTTTAAGGATGTAATCTAATGCACCTTCTATCCCATCCTCTCTGTAGGCAGCTGCTTCTTCCAAAGAAAGGAATAATGTCTTCAGCATCAGTGTGGGTGACTTATGTCTGGGGGACTAGAAAGTCTCAGGACTGAGCCCTGCTGACAACTTAAGCTGCTTTGTGTACAAAAACTCATGCATGGAAGGCAAAAGCCTTGTTTTGTTGCCCTCAAAAGGGAAGAAGGTTTAGAGTCTTGCTAAAACCAACCTTTGATCAGCTGTACACATCTAGACAATGTTGTCTTCAGTGTCCCAGATGGTCCCAGCTGTTGGCATAAGCAATGACAATGACATTCATTTCTCTGCATGAGACTTACCACATACATCCCATGCAATTCCAATTTTTCAGGTGCCTGCTGATGGGAAGTGAAATTCACCAAGAGAAAAGCTGTCCTTGAGGCCCACAGGAACCAAAACCCTGTGGAAGATAGTCTCAGTGGGGAGGATTAGTTGCACGATCACTTCCGGCTACTATCTAATTTTATCTGTGTATCACTGATACTGAATGTCATTCTTTTTATCATGAGAACCCCTCAACAAACAGGACTAAAAATAAAAAGCAAGAGCTCGAAGTTGGCACAAACTGTGCTACAAGGACTCCAATTTGTATAGCAGGAACTATAATCACTCTGAGACGTGCCCAAGCCCTCAGGCATCCCACGGGATTTCAGTCACTTGTTTACAAGGTGTTTTGATTTGCAGCTGTTTGACTACTGTGGCATTTCAAGAGGGGGCGGTTTGAAAGGATGTTGTTACTTTGGATGTTGGGATTGGAAAATGGGTATTGAAAAATCACACAAGAAAACAGGCGAGTGCTGTCTTTGTTCTTCCCCCCCATACATATGAATGATGTCAGTGCTGGGGAAAGGAGCTCCAGGAACAGATCCAGAGGCCAATGCTTTGGAGTGAATAAGCAGGGAACAGGTAAAGCCCCGAAAACGGACCCGTGCCCCAGCCTACCACACCAGAGTGCCCCATATCTGTCTGGAGAAACTAAGCTCTGGAGGTAAGAAGGGAACTGTCCAAGCCCATCACTTTTCTGGCTTTTCTAACAAGGTTGCCAGCAAATAAATTGATACTGTGCCATGGACACCCCTAAGAACTGGGCTAAAGGCCGTCACCAGCTCACTTCAAACAGGCCAGCAGCTGAAATGGATTTGGTCACTGGCTCAAAGTGATTTAGCAATTTAGATGGCTCTTTCCATCATTCCTGCTCTCCTGACCTGGACTGTTCCTCTTTCAGAGCTGCATTAAGCTAATGCCCACTTTCTTCTGGTCCTTCTTGGGATAATGGATTCAGATATGCAGAAAGAATGTAAAAATCCATCTGTTATCTGGGATGAGTGATTTACACAATAGTGCCCAAGAGTGTTTGTTTAACACTGTGGACAGCAAGAACCCTGCAAAGTTGTAACATGCTGAGAAAGGGAAAGCAAGAAGAGAGGAGAAAATAGCCTGGCAGTTTTAGAACTATGTCCACTGAGCTGTGTACGTTTTTTGGCTTAGTTAGCTGTTTGCCTGTTCTTTGGTGGGAAACCAGGATGGACTTGTGGAGCTTTTCCCAGGCTTTAGAGCGTTACTCTCTTGTTTCCAGCACTGGGTTTTTGTATGTGTTAATTGACATACAGAAACTCATGTAGAAAATACAGTGCCAAGAGAATATTTACCTTGTAAATGTTTCATCTGCTGCCCCTCTCTCTTTTCGTGTGATTTTACGAGTGATGACTGACTTGAAGCGCCATGCACCCTTGAAGAAGCATCACCCCTGCCAACCTTGGACACAAGCCCCTTGCCTGCCCAGTGTGTGCCAGCAACCTGACCACACTTTCTTGGCAAGCAGCAGCCATCTCCTCATTTTCTTGAGGTAAAAGAGGGCTTGGCCTAGAAAGTAAAGCATAAAAATGGAAAGAGTCAGTCAGATTATAACATGAAAAATTGTTGTTTTTCTAGCTGAAGAAAAACCCACCCTGTGTTTGATTCTGAATGACACTGATCAGTTTGGCACCAGCAGCTTCTCCACTGGAGACATAAGTGACTTCTCTTTAAGCAAGCATCAGAATTATCTAGGCTGGCATTACAGTCCATCACACTCCTTGCTTTCTCTAAGCAAAGTTGGAGGGGAAAATCTGCATTTGCATTGCACATGTCATTGAAGATCTCAAAGTGCACTACTTACCCTAGCCCACGCAGCAAATCTCTATCGAGGTCGCAGAAATCCTGACTCTCTCTCCTTACCTCCAGCCAGATTGCCTTTTCCCCAAGGTTAGCTATGACTACTGCCATCAGGGCCGTGCTATACTGTCACCACCTTGCCACATGTACCAGTTTTAGACTCCCTGTTTTTCACCCATACCTATGGAAAACTGTCTGCAAAGAGGCTGCTAGAAAGGAAGTCAAAGATTGCTGAAGTCTATTCTAATCCACGGTGTCTATATTTATGCAGCCCTTGTCACAGCAGAGCAGAGAAAATGTCACTGGAACAGTTTTCTTTTTGCCAGCAGGGAAGAGGTTTAAAAAGAGGCAGTATAGCCTCTATTTGATGATGTATTTGTACAAATGTTTAACTTGTAATTTAATTTAAAAATCATCTTCAGTGTTGATTTATATTCCTGGCAGTGAAGTCAGGAGATTGGCAATCCCATTCCATTTCAGTCCATGCTCTGACAGAGGCAGTAACGCAGATCAAAGAGAAGAATTCTTACAGCACTCACATTTTATCATCCTGAATGTTTTCAAGTTCTCACTCTGATATTCATGGGCAGATTATGTAAGTACTAGATTTATACTTCTGAAGGCCAAATAGTAAAGATTGGAATGTTGTATCATTAACAGGAAGTATTTGGAAATAACTGAATTGAAACAAGGTACAACATCCTGTCAAGTGAACACTTGACACGAGCAGCACTGCTTTCCTTGATATGTCGTCTTGCTCCAGTCTTTCATAGGGTCAGACATTTGTTTTCATGCTATAGAATATCAAATTAACTGCACATTATTACACACTCTAAGTCTTGCTTTCCATCTAAATATGTCAAGCTGACATTTTGATTGCCTTAGTAATTGCTAAATATTCAAGCACTTGATTGCCTTAGTAATTGCTAAATATTCAAGCACTTGAATTCCATCATTAACAGTTTACCCAGATGGTGAGAGAGGGAGAAGTAAGCTGCGGACCTTCTGTGAATTCTTTAGAGGGTAAGAACTTACACTTCATTACCTAACTGGTCAGAAGAACATGAAAACTTGCCTTGACACCCCCCTCGAGCCTCTCTGCCTCTCTGCAGCATAGCTCATAAATACTGATAGGTTTAGCTGCCTAATGCCGTGGGGACTCTGACACCACAGCAGTACCCCTTTTTTTATAAAAAAGGGAACGAACACAGGCAGAGGTTAGCAGATGGGCCGAAGGATGAGACCGCTGCGGAGCAGGACCCAGATGTGCCCCCGGCCGGAGGCTGCCGGCCCACCCTCTAGCCCACGGCAGCTGTGGGGCTATCAGAGCCGGACAGGCCCCCCTCTGCACTGGCCCTGCTGCCGTCAGCCACCCCAGCGCAG